AGTTAGAATACCATAAAGCAATAATATAGCATATAATAAGTGGTAAATGTGCCTCAATTTAGAGATCATCACGGCACTATTGGTTCTAATCATTTACTGAAACATGGAAATAACCGACATGCTATAAGGGTTTAGTTAAAAAGTATTTGTATACATATATACCAGTGGTCTCCTCAGCATTAAAGCAAGTGGGTGCACCACCTACCTGAAAATCCATTTGTACATTGTTGAAAGTGAGAAAAATCATGAAAAATTAGCATATTTTGACCAATTTTGGTCTGAATTGTGAAAATGAGAATTTTGCACCCATCTGAGAAAAAATCCTGATGAGATCACTGTATACATATATACAATGCAATTTATTGATATCAGACCAATATACCAATACGCGATAAGGTTTAATTTCGTTCAGTTAAGCAACCTCTTGTTTGAAGAGCTCTCATGTATGGTACAACTTCATCTGCATCCGGGTTCTTTCCCATTGGATTACACAGGGGTGCTATTTTCAATGCCGCACTGCGGCTCTATTAAACATTTATGTAGAGTTTCATTTGCACAAACGATAGGTATGTATGTAATTAAGATATATGACAAAGCTTTTTGAGCTATAATCCCCAAATCCGAAGTAATGTGTAGTTAAAATGCCATCCAATTCCAGTGACGTCACTGATATCCCATAAATTGCTCAGACGCCATCGAATATCGAAAAATATAAATAATGTTACTTTGAATCTCCGATTATCTTTCTGATTATTGAATAGATTGGATAATATAACTATGCTTGAGGGCTGATGGAAGATCAGAAGCTCAGAAACGTTCAGAGTAATCGACTCGTTCGGCGGGCCAATGAAAATTTGTCCCTTCCAAAGCGATGCATCATGGGAGATATTTATGTAAATTACCACCTGAACTCTTATCGCGAATAGGAGTATTGATAGATATAGGAGGAAGATGGGAGTCATACGCGTGTCAGAGGAGAACGTGTATATGAATATGGGAATGGATGTTATATCTAGCTGAGCGGCTTCTCATTCAGGAGAGGATGCAATAATTGATGTGGGTACCTCTGTTGCATCACATGACCTGACTAACAACAAAATGTCACTTGAAAAATGAACAAATGACTAATTTATTTCAGAAACAGAAAATTAGACAAGTACTAAACATTAACAATGTATATAGTTTCCCCGATCTTTCCAATATAGTAATTGAACTGAGAGCCTATCTCTAGACCTCTATACATTAGAAAGCTCAGAGAAAATTACTCTCATTGGTCCCTAATTTCATTTCCATCTATACAGATGGTCCTAATCTAATCAAAATAAAATAACTCTGCCTGGTAGCCATGTACAGAGTTTCTTATTCAGTATTTAAGGCTTGCTTTTTTGACTGCTATGTCTGAATTATAGATTTATTGGGTTTATGGATTATGTATTATTTGTTCCCAGATGGTTTGTGAGTTTGAATTTAATGTTGAATTGGTTATTCAAAATAGAAATATATGTCATGAAATTAATACTTCTAGCTTCAATACATTGCTATTTTTGAATTTCTTTGTTTTTCTCCTATTGCCACTTGTTTTTTGATTCTCCAACACTAGACTTGGTTGGAAATATCAATAATGAATTTGGTAAACAGTGAACAAATTTATTGTAGAGTCTGGTATTTTTCATTTATATCTATAGAATATACTAAAATCAAATGTATCATAGATGATTAGATGGTGTCTATTCATCAACTGTAATGGGAAAATGAAGTCAATATTGAATATTCAATAATTAAAAAATGACATTCAATAATCCTAAATTCTTGATTTCGAACTGGTAATTCTTGTATATGGTAATTGTAATGAAAAAATATTTCCTATATCTGGATCCAAAAATCGTATTTTTCAAGGACTAATGAGTCGAGTTCCTCGTAAATTACCATTTCTTTCTATTATTCTTATTTAGGCATTTATGGTTTCATTGTGAACAATGGATTGTTTCATTGTGAACAATCCACAAAGCCAGTATAATACCTCAATGATGAACTCCCAGAATCAATAACAATTAATTTCCCCCCAAGGGATTCCTCTAATATACATACATAAATAATTTACTTCTCCCTCCAAGAAATGAAACGCATAGAATAATTGAGATAAATAAAGATAAGTTGTAAAAACGAATGAAAATTCTAGTTTAGATCATATTTATCGCGCATGTGGGAAGTTATACAGGAGAAATAATATATCCTGAACATGGACCGAAATCTTCAGTACATCAGAGTTGTCCCGTCCCGTCCCGAGACCAAAGTCCTGAGGGACGGGACAATATCGGGAAACCGTGACATCCCTAACAATGTCACATATAAGGAATTACCAAGGTCTCCTACAATAATCAAATAGAAACCAATGTGGAGTCCTTAGTGTTAATGTCATTTTAAATATATTCTAATCTATAAGAAATGTAAAGGTCAGGTCGCAATGACTAAAAAAGATGACTAAGCTATGATCATGACAATATTTTTTTCACAAACGCCCAAACCATTCTGCAGAAGAGTACATCGCTTTAAGTATGTTAAAATCTAATAGTATCCTCGTTCTAATTTCTAATTTGTTTCATCATGGCCAAGTTATAATACCTAGTTTAATATGAGAATAGCTGATGATTGATAATTTAGGAATGTATGGATGCAGACCATAAATTTCGCTAAGGCTTTTGGCAAACATTTTTGAACCTTATCATTTTGATAATCATCATATCTTTCCAATTTCTAACTAGCTAAATGAAAAGAACTCCATGATGTTACTTCAATGACAATAGTCCAATGATATAAATATTCCTTCATTACTCACTTCGAGAGCCATGTTAGATTTTGATACTTATGGCTCTCCCACGGAGCAATTGACAGTGACATTTAATTAATGCGATCAGCAACTTATTTTGGTCTCTAACTGTGCCCTACATCAGTATCATCCATCCTTGCAAGTATTGGAGCACTGAAGTACTTCCTTTTTCTTTTTTCTGCCCAATTCCAATAGAGTTCTTTGCGTTGTTCTAACCTAATTTATACTCAAAATTCATTTCGTTCATTGCGTATCTCACTATCTAGCAAACAGCCATATTGGAATTGGGTCGAAAAAACATTCACTCTATGAACAATTTACAAGTCTTGATCAAAAAAGAAGTACTTCAGCACTCCAATACTTGCACAGATGGATGATACTGATGTAAGATACAGTTAGAGACCAAAAGTAAGCCTCTAATCATGTTTTAAAGGTCACTATCATTCAGTTGTCCAGTGCGCAGTGGGAAAGCTATTATATCAAAATCCTCAAAGCTTTCGCAGGAAGTAACTCCTTCAGCTTTTCAAATAGTCCATTCGGTCTTGAACTACTCCTGTAAAAGTAGAAAAGTAGAAGAAATTAATGATAGTAGTCAATATAGTTTGAGAGCACCAAATCTGAATTCTATCTACTGAAAGCAATATATGTCAAGTTCGCTTTTTGGTTCAGTTTAATTAGAAGACGCCTGCACACATGTCAATCATTCTAAACTATACTTTCATATTCATAAGACGTTGATACAAAAGAGGACTACCCTTCCCATCATTTACATAGCCTAAATCATGTACTGAAAAATAAATGCATGTGCATACCCTGCGCTTATACTAATAATCTATCAGCTCTGTAATAAAACACAGTTAAATGGTTAATACAACTGATTCTTAATGAAAGCCACCAAGAATAATGTGAAGAAAGTGTATCCATATCTGTGCATGCATAAAAATCAAACCAGAAAAAAGCATATCAGGCGCAGATAGGTGCATTCATTCACCCTCTGGGTCTCTGAGGATCGTGTTGGCCCCAGGGGTGCATAACGTGCAATGTAAATTTATCAAATATAAGAAATGCTGAAAAGTCCGGATCTGATGTTTTTGACTTTTCTCCCAAGATCTTACCTCGATCTTGAAAATTCTTTCACCACTGGATAGGGGGACCAAAAATCTTCAAAATGAACCCATAAATGCCTCGTTTTAATACAGTAATTATGTGTAATCGCTGCAGATAAGACGAAATTGCATTTCTGACCGGTCTTCTTGACATTTTCGCTGACCTAATTTCAAGTGCGCATGCGTTGCATAAATCAGTGTGATGATCACGTGACGTGACGTAATTTGATGATCACGTGTTGTAATGTTTTCCAATAACCAGTTGGTAAAACTGCTATAGTGGATTCTTGATTCAATATGTTTGTTATCACGTCTTGTATCTGTTCTGGCTTCAAATCAAATCCAAACTTTGGTTTTATGTTATGCGAATAGAGATCATTGATTTCTTCCATCGAATACATGATGGTCGAATGAATGATATAAACTCTGTATAGTTAAATAGATGGCAGCAATATTCAATGGCTACTCTCGTCAAATCTCGTGAGAATAGAAGCCGCCATAAAGATTTTGTGAACAGTAGCGACAAACGGCGATTTTGCTACAAAATTAGCACAATTCAACCTTCAACAACCACAAAGCTATGGTAATTTTTTGTATAAATCATCAATGTATCCATTTTGTTTATATTTCTCTGTAAATGACGCAGAGATTCTAAGCAGAAGATTAAAATAAAGTGAACCGTCAAAAATAATCAAGAAAAACTTAGATTGGCATGAATTTACAAGGATAAACACTGCCTCTAATGCAAGTCCTTACGACAATCCAACGCATTAGAGGCGGTGTTCACCGTCTAGGCGCAGATTGCCACAATGTTCTAATTCTGACAATATTTAGCGAAGTACAACTTGAAATAATTTCTCCAAAGATAATTATGCTTTTTTCGTGAATTGTTGATTATTACTCAATGCTAAAAGACAAAAAGAAGTCAATTGTTCTTGTCAATTAAAACAACAGGAAATCTCTATGTCAAACAGGAAGTTGTTGAAAGTTCAAAATGACTGATCCCTGAAGCTAAAAAATTTCAAATTCTGATGAGCAATTTTACTTTTAGTAAACAGCAGCCTTACCTCGAAATCTTTCAAAAACGCTGAAACACCAGCATATTCTCTCTTTCGCTTCTCAATTGGTAGTTTGTCCGCCGGAGGAAGATATGGAATCGGATCTCGAGGTGCAAACAAAGCCAATAAATTCGGTGGCAAAAACGCAGTCATCTTGCTTCAGGGCGAACCCCGTGTGTCTTTCCCTTCTTCTGATGGTCTTATCACAATCTTTATATTTCCTTTAGCACTATCAATTGTCGAAAACAGAGTAAAAATGACGGTGTTTTAGGAATTTTAGTTCTTTTCCACATGTAGCAAAGCAAGCTACCTCCTACCTAGAAATCGGACTAGCGGGGAAATTTTCTCATTGCATCCTCAGTTGGATCGTCTTGACTAACACTACTGACTGGGGTAATTTTATGAATCCGCGCAAAAGTCACTTTATGTTTTTGGTGCGAGATCAGCCGTAATCCGGTACGTTATCCATACTTTGAGGATTCCAAGATAATTATGAACATATATTCCACGTAATTAGGAACTTTTGTCATTAGGAAAATGGGTATATATTTACGAAATCGTATATAATGCGATCTAATTTCAGCAAGGTGCGAGCCGAATTACGCAGTACTATTTTCTAGAATTACGCCGGCTTAAGTCTAAATAAAACCTCAACACTGATTGGATGATATTAAATTCTACCACAAATAATAAGTGCCAATCCTTTCATTACTAAATTTGTATCAATTAAAATATCATTGCGTATTGATTAACTACGTTCTTTCCAAGCAGTATGTTCTATAAAATACAAGATATTGTGCTAAAATATATCATTTTTTCCTTTTTCTTTCCCTTGTTTACATTTTTTCTTCAGCCAATCAAATTGCTTCTAATAAGGCCTAATAATAACAAAATTATCATCTTTTCTTGATCCGCGATAATCTTTGAATGCTTGTCCAAAACATGGATGATGTTATAACTGGCAAGATACATCGATTTTTCGACGGTACGGCAATCAATAAATGCAGAATTGATCTACGGCTTCCAACAAAGAGGTTTACACACGATTCACTGATGCGAGTTTTTCCACAATGACGTCAAGTAGCAATCTCCCAGAGCTTAGAACATCATCCGGGATCCAAGGATAATCTTTTCTCTTATCCGCCATATTTGAGAATAACAAACCAAGATTCCGAGGCTAGATTTTTTTGAAAGGTGGGGGTTTACCCCCGTATTAAGACCCAAAGTGCAAACTATTAAAATGGAAGCATGTATGGTCAGTGTAGATCAGGGGAACGGTCAACTTGGATATAATCAACACGCAAGACCTGGCAAAGGTAACCAAGGTAATATTCCTAATTCCAGGTCTTTTCCAAGGCTGATGGATGACCATGAAACTGTAGTGGAGGACCGGCATGTCACACAAGGAGACTTTGAATGCTCGGAGCGTGTCATCATAAATGTAAGTGGTTTGCGTTTTGAAACTCAGCTGAAGACCCTCAACCAATTCCCTGACACGTTATTAGGCGATCCACAGAAACGAAACATGTACTATGATCCTTTACGTAATGAATACTTCTTTGATCGTAATCGCCCAAGTTTTGATGCTATCCTCTACTATTATCAAAGTGGGGGTCGTCTGAGAAGGCCTGTCAGTGTTCCAATCGATGTATTCTCAGAGGAAATAAAATTTTATGAACTTGGTGAAGTTGCTATTGAAAAATATAGGGATGATGAAGGATTTATCAAAGAGGAGGAAAAAATCTTACCAGAAAATGAATTTCAAAGAAAAATGTGGTTGCTGATGGAGTATCCTGAAAGCTCAATGGGAGCCCGTGTTATAGCAATCATATCAGTTTGTGTAATCTTGCTGTCTATTGTTATATTTTGCTTAGAAACATTACCAGAATTTAAGCATTATCGTGTGGTAAATGCAACAGAAAATAGCACTAATTCAAATAAGCTCCCGATAGAGGAAGATGATATTCCAAAATTCACTGAGCCATTCTTTATCATAGAGACTGGATGTATTGTTTGGTTCACATCAGAACTCCTGTTACGCTTTGCTTCATGCCCAATTAAATTAGACTTCTTCAAAAACATGATGAATTGCATCGACATCGTGGCTATCATCCCATACTTCATTACCCTCGGCACTGTCATCGCAGATGAGAGTAAGTCAAATAACCAAGCCATGTCTTTAGCAATCCTTCGTGTCATAAGACTGGTGCGTGTGTTTAGAATTTTCAAATTATCAAGACATTCTAAAGGATTACAAATTTTAGGCCAGACATTGAAAGCTAGCATGCGAGAGCTTGGTCTACTAATTTTCTTCTTATTCATTGGAGTTATACTCTTCTCTAGTGCTGTTTATTTCGCTGAGGCAGATTCCGACAAGTCACACTTCAAGTCAATCCCTGATGCATTCTGGTGGGCAGTAGTTACTATGACAACTGTTGGTTATGGGGACATGCGACCTATTGGCGTGTGGGGCAAGCTTGTAGGTTCATTATGCGCCATTGCTGGTGTCTTAACCATAGCTTTACCAGTGCCTGTCATTGTCTCTAACTTCAACTACTTTTACCACAGGGAAACGGATTGTGAGGAAAAAGACAAAACTTATCAGCATGTACAAAGTTGTCCGAATTTTCCTCGCCCAGGCAAGAAAGGTTCTCTTGCTAGTGATAGTTGCTCAGACATCATGGAAATTGAGGAGGGAATACCTCTGACTGACAGTGAAAGGACTAAATTAAACCATGCAGGTGCAGTAAAGAATAACCCTGGCAACAACCCAAATAACATCAGTATAGAGACTGACGTATGACAATGACAGAACATGAAACATTAAAGTGTTTAATCCCATTCTTCCATTTTGCTCTCATTTTGTAATTTTTAGTACAGCTATGTGAATGAAGAGACTACCACCTCTAAATGTCACATAGCTGAGAGCTTCTATGGACATTAATCTGTAAATTATGTATAAAATGTAAAAATTCTACCACCATGAGAGTGATCCCTTGCCATTAAGCTCTCTTTTTAACACCACTGTTTGTTAAGCGTGTAGTGTAAATTAATTCAACCTTTTTATCACAGTTATTGTTTTACAAATATTTAAATAGTATTAAACCATTACATGCATTGTATTTAAATTGTGTATATTCAGCCATTTCCATTTTCACAATGGTGAATTAGAAGTTTTTCATTCTACGATTTATTGTGGTTTATTACCGCAATGCATTCATATGCTTCGAATCTCATAAGGCCACTACCAGATAATATTAGATATTCAATAGAATCTGCTGTGTAATGTATGATAACTTGGAAGAATCTCTATGCAAATGCAGAGTGTATTTTAACGTAATGCAATATGCTGTAAGTCTGTACATCTATAATATATGGTAGCTGGATCAATAATTCTCCAGAGCCAGGGGTCTTCTGGGCTATAAATAGTGTGTACGCCCTTGCCAAAGTCACTGCTCAGAATTAATGAACCGCTGGGATGGTGGCCAGAGGAGGTGGATGGAGATAAGAATCCCCATGGAATATTCATTATTCCATTATGACAGCTATAACATCAGGTAGCTTCTATCATAACAGAAATACAGGATTCGTTACACTTTCCCCACAATTGAATGAGTTCGTCCTTGGATTTTAACAGTTATCAAGTCATCTCTGCCATACCTAGCTGATCAGAGTGAAATAGTGCAAGGATTGTCTAAAAGATATAAAAGATGTATGCTAATACTTTCACTCCCATAAGGGATTGACTTTCTGAGAAGATATACGGTGATGACTCTCTAAAGAATCTCTGCAACTTTAAGTCATAATCCTAGCCTAAATCATCCAAGCTCTAAGGGAATTTAAATTTTCCATATATATCCTTATTGCATACTTCACTTGATGTTTATAATCATTACAAATGACACACATCAATAGTTTGGAATTAGAGTCATCACAAATCCCTCCCCCTAAAAATGAAGGAAATATCTAGTGGGTACACTGTTTCATACTTATTTTACTCTCTAGTGAATGTATAAGCCCAGATAACATGCAGCAGAATTCATGTAATATTCATTACCAATATGGCGATACTTAAGAATATTTGCATCTTATAGACTATCGTCTTATTCTAACTTGCTCATTTTGCAAACTCTGTCTCAAAGTGATGCTCTCTATAGCTTTTGCTTGTAAAATGCCACCCCATATCTATTTTACAAAAATTAGGTCTATGTATATGTGTTTGGCTGCTTCTCATCTTATATTGTAAGGTGGTATGCATATTAAATATCCAGTAGGCACTATTTTCAGCAATATTAAGTATTGATTAGTGGATGAGATAAAGGCAGTGGTATAATATAAGTGGAGATGGTTAAACCTGGTATAAGGTGCATACCTGTATGTATTAGCTGCACTATGCCGATCAGATTACAGTAAAACCTATAGATGTGAACACAACCTCTGAAATGAACATCCCAAAATATGAACACTTGGTTGGTTCTGTTTTAAGTGCCCCATTGATTCTAATGTTATTAGAACACCTTAATACAATATCTGTAGACACTTTGTGAACATAGAATTAGAAACAAAGCGATTCTTAACATGGAGAGTTATGAAACAATAATTTGTCCTTGATTTAGAAATGTTCATAAGGGAGAGGTGTTTTCATAAACATAGTAGTTTCACTGTAAATATGATCTTACCAATTTTATTGGCAACCAGATATGTATGTTAACACTAAGAAGGCGCCAAGTGACCAGGAATGTATTATTTCAAAGTATTATATTTTGAACTATAGGCTTAAAATGGTATTACAAGTAAACTGTGCTATTTGTGATTTACTTCCACAGCTTGGGGTCTATAGTGAAATATATGCAAGACTTTGTCATATATCGACAATCTTGTTTTATTGTGAGTTTATGCAACTGCCTCTCCTAAATCTCTTCCCCTGTTCTGTTTGAGGAAGAGAATGAAAATGGGAGGTTTAGTTGCGTATATGCATATCACCGGACCATTGTGTACTAAATACATGTACTTCCATGTCATCTTTGATATTTCGGTTAAATTTATTTTGGACATTTAGCCATTTTTTCATTGTGTGAGAATATTGCAATGATTTTGCAGTTTTGCTTAACTATAATCTGTTCTCTAAGTGTACCCACTCATATTAATATGTACATCAAGATCATTTGGGGGAGGGATGGAATGAACGTTAGTGAAGTTCACTATATAGTTGAGCTTAGTTGATAACACAAATAATGAAGTACCATATGGATTTACATCAGACCGTCATACTTTCAAATGGACATGGACTTCATTTCTATGGAACAGTTACCAATCGCAGTCTTCTAACTGAACCAAATCTATCTTGGACTATACATCAGATCCTTGGAATTGAGCTTATCCAACCATGAACTGGGAAGAACACAAAATGAAGCGTTGCTAAGGAGATGTATGGCATTACCATGGTGATAGATGCAACAAGATGTGCAGGTTACCATAGACACCAGCTGGATGACCTGAAGTTTCAACCACAAAGTCAAGGGTAAGTCAGTTTTCTTTCTAATCTACATTTCTTTACCAATGTAATCTCTTTAGCAGTGATTAGCATTTTCTCTGAGTGGGTACAAAATTCTCCTTTCACAGTTCTGTTCAAAGTTGGTTAAAATATTCTTCTTGATTCTTCAGATTTTCAAGTCCTTTCAAATAAGGGTTGTAGGTTTAAATTTGGTGCAACATCTACTTGTTTCAATGCCAAGGAGATTATTAGCTTTAAAGTGTGGAATACAGATGAACTATTGAGGGATGAAGAATTTGTTTTATAACATATTGTGACTGTTCTAGTCATTGATTTAGATATTAGTTCAGTTTCAAAAAATTCAGTCAGTATGCTTACTAAAGAAATCTGTAAACCCCTGCATGTTTTTGTGGTAGAAACAATTCCTCATTTATTAGTAAATAACATGAAACTTAACACAATCATATTTTTAGCCACTCAGTAGCATGGTGCACCAAATGGCAAATATCCATTAACCTGTTCTCAAAATAAACAAGTGCCTGGCCTAGTATCAGTCTTCAGCATAACTCCAGGAAACATGGACTCAATGGAAACCATTTATAAGTGAAAGAACCTGGGGATCCACTCAATTTTAGACCCTCTATTGTCATCTTGATTCACAAGGTTTTGACCACCTTGAAAGTCAAAAATGATGGTTGTGTATTATACTAAGCATTTGGTGTGCTATTACTTAGTGGTGATGTTCTTTATATCTTTAACCTTTATTGATAATTAGGGTTTTAATATAAGACTTAGGGAATTGAAATAATATTGTATTTCAGGTATCGTATTTCTGGTTAGGTATTTCAGGTTATAGATGTATTGTATTTCAGGTTAAATTGATTGTATTTCAGGTTATATGTACATGTTTGTAATGTGCATTTTCTATAGCATATCAGTCTTCTATTTCAATTTGCACTGTATGGGAGATACTCTTGTGAGATTCTCTTCAAATAACTGGGTCAGTTTATAAGTTGGATTTTTCATTAACATTGATATGACCATGCAGCGAACATGTTATTTCTAAAGAAATATTACAAATACCCCTTTGAATATCTTGAAATGATTAAAAAGTACTAGATCATCCAAAATTATGACTAAGATACGAAATCAGTTAAGTAAAACCTGTCCTAGAGAACACCTCTTCTAGTGAACACCTGTGTTCTGTGAACACCACTTCAAGACACATTTCTGTATAAAATCACCTCTCTGTAGTGAACACCTTACTACAGTGAACGCTTTTTATGGATCCATAGATGTTCACTACAGGTGTAGCATGCTTGACATTTGTATCATGTAATATATACCAAATGGAGATCAATTTTGTAGTACTCAAAATTCCTCAAGTATTGGCCTGTCTTTATCAAGTATGTAGGCTTGCTACAAACAGCAGCTGTGGAAGTTTATTTTCATCTGCATTTTACTTATTATTGATTCATAATATTTGTATCAGAATTATCCTTTTGATTCTAAAGGTGATTTCATCTCTCACAATTATTTCAGTTTAACTCTAAGAAGTGGAACACTTTTGGTACTTCAAAATATGTTTTATTTAGGAAGTGTTCCACCTACAGAGGTTCATTTTACGCTCCATCATTCCTTTGGGTTACTGGACTTGTTTTGTTTATGGAGGTTTTCCACTTATAGAGGTGTTCCCCTTTAAAGGTTTTCCACTTATAGAGGTGTTCTCCTTTAAAGGTTTTCCACTTATAGAGGTGTTCTCCTTTAAAGGTTTTTCACTTTTAGAGGTGTTCCCCTTTAAAGGTTTTCCACTTATAGAGGTGTTCCCCTTTAAAGGTTTTCCACTTATAGAGGTGTTCCCTGTTAAAGGTTTTACAGTGCAGTAACTCACACATGGCTGAAATTGTGTTCCATGGATGGATTCACTGTGTTTTTGTCAATATGAGATCATTCCATTCTCTTCTCAATATATTTTAAGTAAGATGAACATTAAAACTGTTATCAGTGAGGGGGGTCTTATAATTATGTTGATTACCCATAGTTTTTAGCCTTCTCTCAATCTAAAATTCCCCTTCGGGAGACGAGACCTATATCATGTATATCAACTGGTATTAACCTTGTATGGTAAAGCAGTCTTGCATGGAATATTTTTGAGTAAATTATGAGAAAATATTAATGCTCTACTGGCTGACTGGATGAACTTATCTCTTCTAAAGTGGGATAATATGAGGAATATATTGGCAATTTCTGCCTCTCGCTTGTAATTCTCTAATCCACTTCTGTTCAGAAAATGAACAATTGAATTTTCATGTAATCTGAATTGAGAGGAAACTGCGTTATTTGATTATGTTTATCAGTCCATGGACTGGTCTAGTGCTGATAGATTATGAAGCCTCTAAAATTAGAAAACATGACTGACATGCCGCAACATTTCAACCCACCCTGTTCCATAAATAATACTCGCCTTTAGATCTTAAATGGCACACTTTGAGTCTGAAATGAAATCAGTCTCTTGTTAGATGTTTGAAGGAATTTGTGATTTATGAAATTGAGTGTTCTCCGAGAATATTGATTTGAAATAGTGACGGTAAAGCTGGTTAGTTGATTCGTAAATTAGCCTTTTTCTCTTTTTTACCACCTTTACCACCATTTGCCTCATCTGTTATTATTACCACCTTGCCGGGCCAGTTCTAGGGGTTTTAGTGCTAGTTTAGAAGGCGTTTATTTTACTATATCGACCTGAGAAATGTGTGACGTCATAGTGGTGGTCCATATGGACCAGTCTAGAATATATTCTGGACCGGCAATTTTCCCCGGGAAATTAGATATCGTTCAATGCGTAAGATTTTCTTGCTGTTTCAGTCCTGGTCGTTAACGGTGGTAATAATACTAATAACGTCATTTCTGCGAGCGATATAGTGAAATATTGGACCTTGGGCCTTCGGCTCTTGGTCCAATATTTCACTATATCGCCCTTAGAAATGACGTTATTGTACTATTATTTTGCCTCATCTGATTTGGGATACTGGCTATGCCCCTGCATAACTGCCAGAATTTTTTCAATTAGAAGTGAGGATCTACATCTCCCGGACCAACATAAAGATCTAGATGTATAATTGATTGCAACAGTTTTGCTTACAGTACTTCAATAGAGAGTTCTTTAGAGAATTTATTACATCACTTTAGACATTCAGCTAATATACTTTTGCCAAATTGCCCAAAGAAGCCTAAAAAGGAGACTATTTCTCTTTATTCTTTATTGTCGTCCATTTTGAAAGGATATTTCCCTCATTTGTTGAACCATGAAAATGTCAGAAAAATATTCAACATCATATTCAATCTGAATATTATACAGTTATATACAATAACATGTTTCCTTATTTGACATACAAATAGTTGTTTGATTTCAATGTTTTCTTCATTTTCATGATTTTCTTACGTTGAACATGGTGGATCTAATCTCATTTCGCTGTTAATGATAAACAGACAAGACAGCTCTATTATTTTGACATTAGGGGATAAGCAAAGAATTCAGAAGCAATCTCCTCATCCGAGAGATTTAACATTGGTCCTCAATAAATTGCGATTTCTGTCACAAAATTTGTATCTGATGTTCTTAGTTTTTGAGACAATTTTGGAGTTTACATAGGTTTCTTACTGGATCTGGTTATTTCTTGTCTTATTTTGTATTCTTTACTGCACTGAAGAAGTATTGTGTTGTATCAATATGTCTGCTTCAAATTTCTCGTCGTTTTGTCATTTTAGATGTGTCAATTATTTTGGAGGAATAGCCCAGGATAGATGTATTACATGGTCTACTGGATAATTACCACTCTGTGCTTGTTGGCAAGATAACATAGAAAGCATTCTTCAGAGAAAATAGCTACACGATGTTGCAATTCGACTGCTATATGATATGCAGTAGCAGGTCTAAGTTTGGAAGAATTCATAATGAACCCATTGGTGTTATGGCTAGCTAATATTAGAGGCCAGCCACTATTATCATAAAAGAACGTTCTGGATCTGCTTATTGAAAAGATTTTTTATTATCCCATCGAACGAAGTTCGGAGGGATATAGGGAACGCCTCCGTCCGTCCGTACGTACGTCCGTCCGTCCGTACGTACGTACGTCCGTCCGTCCGGGCAATAACTCAAATACCGTTGGACCGATTTTGTTCATATTTTGTACGCATATACCCTATGGGGGTAGAAGTTCTGCTCAAAAGCCAATTTTCAAAATGGCCGCTCATTTTAAAATGGCGGCCATTTTAGTGACGATTTTACAGTAATTTAGGTGCTATATATAAAACTGTAATAGCAATATGTTTTAAATGTAAAAAAATTATAAAGGACATTAAAAATGCTACAAATGTAGATATTAAAGAAGCACATGGCAGCCATCTTGAAAAATGGCGGCCTTTACTCGTCATTTTACGATTTTGGCTGTAACTCAAAAAATAGTGGAGCGATTTTGTTCATATTTGGTATGTGAATACTATAAGCATTGCACACTGTCTAAAGACACTTTTGGTAGAAGGCAGCCATTTTGAAAAATGGCCGCCATTTTAACGTATTTTACTATAACTCGAAAAGTGGTTGAGCGATTTTGTTCATATTTGGTATGTGAATACTATAAGCATGGCACACTGTCCTATGACACTTTTGATAGAAGGTGGCCATTTTGAAAAATGGCCGCCATTTTAACGCATTTTACTATAACTCGAAAAGTAGTGGAGCGATTTTGTTCATATTTGGTATGTGAATACTATAAGCATGGCACACTGTCCTATGACACTTTTGGTAGAAGGTGGCCATTTTGAATTTTTTTTTGAAAAATGGCCGCCATGTTAAAATATTTTACTATAACTCGAAAAGTAGTGGAGTGATTTTGTTCATATTTGGTATGTGAATACTATAAGCATGGCACACTGTCCTATGACACTTTTGGTAGAAGGCGGCCATTTTGAAATTTTTTTTGAAAAATGGCCGCCATTTTAAAATATTTTACTATAACTCGAAAAGTAGTGGAGCGATTTTGTTCATATTTGGTATGTGAATACTATAAGCATGGCACACTGTCCTATGACACTTTTGGTAGAAGGTGGCCATTTTAACGTATTTTACTATAACTCGAAAAGTAGTGGAGCGATTTTGTTCATATTTGGTATGTGAATACTATAAGCATGACACACTGTCTATTTCTAATGACGCTTTTGGTAGAAGGTGACCATTTTGAAAAATGGCCGCCATTTTAACGTATTTTACTATAACTCGAAAAGTAGTGGAGCGATTTTGTTCATATTTGACATGTGAATACTTTAAGCCTGGCACATTGTCTAATAAAAC